TACCTGCTAAACTATCAGCTCCTCAGAGGGCTTCCCTCCTTCCTTCCCTTTTCCTCCCCCCACCTCATCTCTCCCTTCCTTCTTTTTTCCTCTGCTTCTCTTCTGTCCTTCCTTCCCTCTCTCCCTCCCTACCTCCCCCTATCCTTCTCTCTTCCATTCTTTCTTCCTCTAGGCTGCAAACAGCCTAAATTTCTTCTTCCCCCAGCCTTATTCCAGTCTTATTTCCTCTGCCTGGATGTTCTGCCCACTCTTTTATGATTGGAATTTTTAAAACCCCATTTCCAAAAAAACAGCAATATGTTCTCACTGCAGAAGGTCAAAAGCACCACAGTCTCAGTCAACAGATCAACAGTACAGAAGGGTGAGAAAGAAAAGAATAAATACCTCTTCCCTCCTCAAACTCTGGCCCTTGTGGTAACCAACAGCAAAGGTCTGAGTGCCACCTTCCACACAGTTATCTCTGCTGTCACCACCATGGTGAGCTCCTACCCAGTTTTCAGTTCTTAGCTTAACTGTCACCTCCTCTGAGAAGCCTTCGCTGGTCATGCCCCACCCTTCCATAGTGGGCCACACCCAGGGCGTCTCTTCTGCAGTGCCATTACCATTACAGGTTTATTTGCCTAATTCTCTGTTTAATATCTATTTCCTGCCCTGGAATGTGAGCTCCCCAAGGGCAATGATTCTGTCTCCATCTTTATTTGCCTAATTCTCTGTTTAATATCTATTTCCTGCCCTGGAATGTGAGCTCCCCAAGGACAAGGATTCTGTCTCCATCTTGTTCACAATTGGGCATCTGATAAGAGCAGACCCCCCAACAAATACATCCTGAATGAATAATAATTATTAGTCAACATTATTGGGAGCTGGTTCTAAAAGCATTTAGTTGAATTCCCACAACAATATAAGACAGGCACTGTTGTCATCCCCATAACCATGTAATCTATGCCACGAGACACAGATGCTAAGAGGCAGCATTGAGATCCAAATCCAGGCAGCCTGGTCCCCAAGCCCTCAGCTCCTGCTCTCAGGTGATTGGTGATGAATAACTGCTGGGCTGCACGGGGAGAGACTCACCCACAGAGGCAATATCGGCCAGCTGATCCTCAGCCTCCTCGGGGTTCAGCAAGTCTGTCTTGCTTTTCTTTATGGTGGCTCTCCGCAGAGCTCCAACAATGGAAACATGGCAAGAGAAAAAGACGTTACCCTTTTTGCAACAAGGACAATATGGACAGAGTACATGCTTGGATTTAACCCCTGTGACAATTGGTTTGGTGGGAACTAGTAGTACGTCCATTTTACAGATGTGTAAACCAAGGTTCAGGGAGGTAATATCACTTTGCCTGAGGGAAAAAGACAAGAATCAAGTCCTACTCAATCCAACTTCAAGTCTGGGCTCTAGGCCACTATTTTCCCCCCAGTCCATCTCAAAATTCTAAGAAACCTCCCTTCCCAGGAGCCCTGGGGCTAGATACACAGGGATGACACTTACGAAAACAGTCCACCCCTTGACCTGTAACATACTTGCTAGGCAGGCTGGGACTATGGAATTCTCCCCAAATATTGAGGCTAAACTCCCTCAAGGGCTCTCCAGGGGACAATGAATTCAGGTATACACTACCAATAAAGAGGTTTAGACATCCCCCATGGGTAATCTCTTCCCCTTCCCAAAATAGTAAAATTCATTTTATAACTTTCTGGGACAGAGTCCCAGTTCCTTTATTTCCTTTGAATGTCTGGCATTTTCAATCGAAAGTTATCACTCTGTCTAACCAGCTTTCAACCACATGAGAAGATAATCTTGAGCAACAAGCTGTATTTTTCATGGAGTATTATTATATTTGTTATTGTTATTATTATTATTTTGCAAACACATCCCTCTAACCTATCTCTAAATCCTAAGAAATTTCAGGGAGCCCTAAACTGGATATGCAGTGACTCTTACAGTCTGCCCCCTGACTCCCATTATAGCTACTGGGCAGGTTGGGTTTATGGCCACATTTTAATACTCTCTTGTACCATATTTAGGTTTCCAGAGGATAATGAGTTAAAGTGTACACTCCACAGAAAGTGATTTACACTCCCCAATAAAGTGGTTTGTAAAATCCACTTTGTAACCTATTGGAACACAGCCCTAGTACTTTTATTTCCTTCTTGCTCATGGTATTTTCAATAAAAAATCATGACTCTGTCTAGCCAGATTTCTAACATGTGAGACAGCAGTTCTTAATGGTAAGCTGGATTTCATGGTAAGATTATTATTACTTATTTATTTTGCAAACAGAAATAATAATGACTCTGTGCCAGACACTGTCCTGGGTATTCTATTTGCTGTAATTAATGTAATCCTCAGTAAAAAAATCCCATAAGGTTGGCCTTTATATGATACCCATTTTACAGATGAGAAAAACTAAGGCACAAACCAGAAGAAACTGGGCACATGGTTACAGCAGAAAAGGGGAGGCCAGAAAACAAAAACCCTGCACGAAGTCCTGAAATTCCTCCAGGAAGCAGATTCTCACTACTCCCCAGATCTCCCTGAGCCTGACCAGGTCTCATGTTTGTTCCTGGCACAATCTGAGCTCTATCCCCTGGAGGCACCTTAGAACTGAGTCACCTGTTTCCCCAGCCCCAGCGACTCCCATCTCCCCTGGGACCCACCACCGAGCTGGGTTCAAACAGTTACCATCAAAAGGATGCCTCTGCTCCCCGTCGGTTTCATCCTCAGCGAGGATCACCTCTTCTGAGGAGGAAGAGAACAGAGTTAAGCTCCTGAGTCTGGAGGACTCTCTTGGGGACTAGCTCCCTTAGATTAGGAAGGAGAAGGGTCTGCCCGGCCACCCTCATCTTCTCCTGGCCGACAGTGATCGCTCAACCAGTCAAAAAAAAATGTGCTGCTCAATTGTTTCTGACTTCCAGCCCCACCTCAGCCACCACGGTCATAGCCAACATTATCCCCACCTCACTCAAAAGAAAAACCAGCATCCCCATCACAGCCTGTAAGTCCCTGCTTGATCTGGCCTCGGTGACCTCCCTATCCTCCTGTCCTCCTCCTCTCCCCTTTGCTGACTCTGCTTCAGCCACACTGGCTTCCTTGCTAGGTCTCAGCTATGCTCCTGCCTCAGGGCCTTTGCAGCTGCTATTCCTCTGCCTGGAACGCCCCTCCCTTCATATACCCGCAGCTTCCTTCTTCATGTCCTTCAGGTCTCTGCTCAGATGTCACTTCCTCAGAGAGGCCTTCCCTGACCACCCTGCCTCCAATGCAGCTGCTATTCCTCTGCCTGGAACGCCCCTCCCTTCATATACCCGCAGCTTCCTTCTTCACGTCCTTCAGGTCTCTGCTCAGATGTCACTTCCTCAGAGAGGCCTTCCCTGACCACCCTGCCTCCAACCATTCACAAAACCTTCCTACCCTGTTTTTCCTTCTCTACATTTGGCAGCACTCAACATCACATGTATTTCCTTGTTTTGTTTCTGTCACTAGAATGTTAGAGCCCTGAGGACAGAGATTTGGTCTGCTGTGTCCACTACCATATCCTCAGTGCCTAGAACAGTGCCTGACATGCAGCAGGTACCCCATAAGTGTTCGTTGCATAGTTGAACAAATACAGTCCGCCCTCCGTATCCACAGGTTCCACATCTGTGGATTCAACCAACTGCCAGTCAAAAATATTTAGAAAAAAAAACCCCAATAAAAAATGCAGCAACAAAAAAATACAATAAAAAATACAGTGTAACAAGTATTTACATAGCACATACATGGCATTACGTATTACAAGTAATCTAGAGATGATTTAAAGGGTACAGGAGGATGTGCATAGGTTATGTGCAAATACCACACCATTTTATATGAGGGACTTGAGCATCCAGGGATTTTGGTATCAGCAGGGGGTCCTGGAATCAATCCCCCAGGATACTGAGGGATGACTGTATGTGACTATTGTGTGTTAGGCACTCTCTTTCTAAGTGACTTAGTTTGGATTATTTTACTGAATGCTCAAACAACCCTACAAGGTATCATTATCTCCATTTAACAGCTGAGGAAACTGAGGCACAGGGAGGTGAAGTACATCACTAGGAGGTGGCAGAGCCTGGATGTGAACCAACATCTGATTTTAGAACTCAACAATTATGTGATGTCATCCCCTGGCTTCATCTCAGAAGCTTTAATATTATCTCTGGATTCTTGCTGATAAAATTTGCGACTACCAACTTAGATTCTCTTTCTCCTCCTATCATGACTCTCCCCTCTCCAAATTGTATGCATGATTCTCTGTGTGCTCCATAGCTTGGGATCTCCATCCCTTGGCCCCAGGATGCAAGGGCCTCACCTGCTTTTGAGATCCATTCCATGTACCCATTGAGCTCGCGTTCAATCTGTTGTTGCCGCCTCAGCTTCAGAAAAGCACGCCGGTTTTCCACCCGCTCCCTTTCTTTGGCAAACTCCCTGTAGAAGCACAAAAAGCCAGGGTCTGGCTGTTTTGGAAATTTTAGGGAGTGTGTGTGTATTTAGGGGTCCACTGGAGGGCAATGGTTTTCAACAGGAGGAGTAAGTTTTTTGGGAAGAGATCAGAATATTATAGGGATGGATTCTCTGCCAGCTCCCCATACTTTCCAATAGTTGCACCTAGCTAGAGACAAAAGCCAAAGCATAAAACCATGCCATGCCAACCACCACTGGCTGCTTTCCTGGCTAAAAAGTATTTTCAGCCTTTTTTTAAGTTAGACCAATATGACATAAACTGAAGATTTCTGGAGCAGCTCTGCTTCCCTGATATAACTGCTTCCTGTTTTCCTTCTTCCTCTTCCTGTTTGGAACATGGAGTGGCCATCTTGAAAGCATGAGGCAGCCATCTTGAGACCATGAGGTACTTGTGAGACTGGAAGCCTCTGGTAAGGATGTCAGAGTGGAAAGCTGGAAGGATCTGGGGTTGCTGATGGCACTTTGGAGCCACTGTACCAGTCCGCAGACTTTTTGTGGTGAGAAAAATGAAACCTATTTATGATTAATCCCCCCCTGCAAAAAATCTTGGAAATAGAGGACAATGTGTGTCAAGAAAATGCATGCTTGATTGTTTGCTATGATTTTATATTTGGAAAACGGAGCATGGGAAACCCAAAATATATATTTTTTAATGTAAACTACAGAAAGCAAAGCCCCTGTGAGTTCCCTCATTGGGTGCCCATAGCAGTGCGCAACCTATGCACCTGCACATGGCTTGCTAATGGTAGTCTGTTAACCAGAAACAAGGGAAGAACCCTGTTCTCTGTAGAGTGAATGAAAACAAAGCTTTGATAGCCTCTTCCCGGGAAGAAGTTTGCAAGGAGGAGTGATATGGGGAGGAATGTCAAAACTTACCCTGATAGCACACCCAGCACGAGGTTCAGCATAAAAAAGGAGCCGATGATGATGAGGGGAATGAAATACAACCAGTTCCAAGTGTTCCCTGAGGCATCATTGCTCTGCAGATTGTAGGAGGAAAAACAGGTGAGAGTTGAGTGGAACTCAGGTAGGACCTGACATGTGGGGGAAAGGGGAGCTCTGGTTCTTCTTGGGCCCTGTCTCCCAGTATTCTTGGCCTGTGGAGTCCTGGAGCTCTGGCAGCTCAGAGAGGAAAATGCAGGAAACCCCAGTGGTACCATCAGAAGGGCAAAGCTCCCTCCTAATCATGTGGTCCTCACAGGACCTGGAAATCAGCATGAAACACAAAAGGACTTCTCAGACCAGAGTCCAGGAGGTGAAGGAAACAGCAACCACATTGAAGTAGAGAAATGAATCACTCACAGGACCTGGAAATCAGCATGAAACACAAAAGGACTTCTCAGACCAGAGTCCAGGAGGAGAAGGAAACAGCAACCACATTGAAGTAGAGAAATGAATCCCTCATTCCCTCCCTTCTTTCAATACAGTCACAGTCTCCTCTTGGAGAAGGTGCATGATTGCAGGGTCTGGTGGCCTGGCAAAGTCACCAAGCCAGATGGCAGGGCCATGAGCCTTTTCCTCAAGTGTCTCCCTCCTCCATTCCCTGCAGCCTCAATGTCAACCATAAAAAATTCCAAGAAGTGCTCAGCTCAATTTTCAAGGGGGAGAAAGTCCACAAATGGAACATTCTTTTCTGAAACAGAGAACAGAACACTATAGCAAGAAGGAAGTAAGAAGAGGGGAAGAAAATCAAGAACAGAGACAGAGATAGAGAGATAGAACACTTATAGAGTATTTACAGTACTATTCTAAGCATATTACCTATGTTATCACTTAATATTAATGATTCCCCTATGTTATCATTATGCTCATTTTACAACTGAGGAAGCTGAGGCTCAGAAAGACAAAATCACCAGCCCAAGGTCACACAGCTAGAGAGTGGTGAACATGGGATTTGAACCAGGTGACCAGGCCTCAGAGTCCATGGACTTAACCTCTGTGCTGGAGAAGCCTTGGATCCAGCCATCAGGACAGGAAAAATCTTCCGGTGGTTCATCACCCTATGGCACCTGCAGAACACAGGGTACCCAAGTGTGGCTTTAAAAGCCCACCTTTAAAAGCACATATAACATTGCTGCTGCCCAGAAGAAAGGCCAAAATAAGAAAGACTGACAATACCAGGTGTCAGTGAAG